AAAAAAAAAAAAAAAAAAACACCCATCTCAAAGAAACTTGATACATTTTAGTCACTCCAGTTATGTTAATCATCCTTTCACCTCATTTCAAAATTGCCTACACAGCCTAAGAATTTATCATAGTTATACTTTTAATGGATTATAGTGTTTGATTTCTATTAAGCTTAAAGTTAATGCATAACAAAGGCAGATTTTAGCTTAAAATACTTTTTAAACTACAAAAAAGATTTTCATAGTAAAGGAGACAAGCATCTAATAAAAGATAATAGAACCATTTTAAAGGACCTTTAAACAACATAATGATTAAGCTGTTTTTGTCATGATTCTGTGTCATGATTATGCACTTTTTGGTTCTGTTTAAGATTTCTTTTTGAGCTTTCACTTTCACTTTGATTCATGTTTTTTCTGTGTTTTCTAGTTTTTTTTCGGTTTAATTCCCATTTTGTGGTGTTTTCTGGATGTATTTGATTTCCTATGTATTTCTTGTTTGCCCTCTGTTGCCCTCTTGTGTCAGACTCCTTTCCCCTAGCTCCCTTCTAGATTCCTATATCCAAACCTGCTCCCAGTCTGCTGTTTAGCCTGGTCTTTCTTTCTGTCACCCATAAATACACCTCTTCAGTCACTGTTTGCTGGTTCCTTGTCATTTCTTTTTCCTCCTGTGTTTTCCGTGACGTCTTCAGAATTTCTGTATTTTGTTTTTTGGGATTTTTGCCTTCAGTTGCTACCTATGGAATAATAAATCTGCAAGAAACCATTTCAGCTTCAGTCCCTGCATTTGGGTCCTCTTCTATCCTCCACTCAACCTGAGAGTTTTATTGTGGATTTGAACCCAGGTCCCCTGTATCACAGCCAGACTTTAACCACTTCACCATAGGCATTCGAACCAGGAAGAACCTGCCATTCCCCACCACAACTACATACATAACTTTAGGTACTTGGCATGCCAAAGGCAATCTTTATTTAAACAATATAATATAGACTTTTTTTGGTCCTTACCAGGCAGCTCCTAGCATTGTCAAAGAGGGCGATCCGTTTGTAGGTGAGGTCCGAGGAGAAAACTGAGAAGTCAGCATCACCCAGCTGTTCAAAGTATGCCCTGCAGCTTACCTGTGGCACCAGAGAGTAGCTGTGGAGGGAAATGGATATTGTGAAGTTATTAATGGATAAAAAAAAGGCCAACAAAAATGTAACAAGGGACTTACTCATAGTACAGCAGCACATCAGGAGGGAAAAGGTCAAAGCTGGTGATGTCGGATTCTGCACTGATGTGGTTGTACATGCAGGTCAACTGATAAGTTGGGATAAAAACAAAGAAGATATGAATCGTTAACCTATATCGATGTTTCCTTTACTGCAGATTTGGAAATTGTAATAAATGAGAAAATCAGAAGGTATTTAAAAAACTAAATACTTGGTAAAATTACATTTAAGTGGTGCAATATAGGAATACTTACAGTTCTATAAAATAGCATTTGCCTTTATGCAACTTTCCTCTTCTTTTATCAAGTTATTTTTTAATCATAAACTAGTGGAAGTTTTTGACGACATATTTGAAGTTTTAACCAATGATAATAAATTACCTTCAAATACACCCTTGTTACCCTCCCTAAGTTTTTTTTTCCACAAATAAAGAAATTCTCAATGTGTTTTGAATTTATTCAAGTCAACTAGTCAGCAATTAAAATTTGTTTTATGACCTTTGTTTCATGAAAGTTGTATGTACCTACCTACTAGACATTCATTATCAATTAGAGAGCCTTTGCTTTTTTTTCCCCTAACACCGGAAATACATTTCTACTCCCTGGTCCTCACCTGAGACTCCACCAGTGTGACTTTATTTCTTCCTCTCCGCCGACAGGCTTTGACCAGATTTTTGATCTGCACCTTTTTGAATGTTCTTACACTTGTGCATGTGAATCCTTGCAGGACAGAGGAGGACAAACTACACAAACACATACACACTATTATCACTGAGCAGTCTCAACTATACAGTTACATACTCTGCATACATAACTTCAAACCAGATTGGTAGAAATATTGTTTGACTCACTTATTTGCACTTCCCAGCATAGCTGTAGAATTTTCCTGAGCGATTACTGCAAAAAACAGCTCAGCCTGACAAAAAAAGGTCATAAATACAAGTTTATGCACTGAAAGCAAACACATGAACAAAACTTCAGCAGTTTATATTCATGGGAAAGCTCGTCTACCTGCTCCCGCTTCCATTTCTTCCTGTTGAGTCTGGTGATGACGGTTTCTTTGACTGTAAAGCCCTGCAGCAGAACCCGAGGGATCTCCGTGGCCATTTCATCTGGAACGTTCTCGATTATCATCTCGTTGTTGTTGTTAGCAGAAACAATCTGAAAGGAAGGTGTTGAATATCAGGCTGTACATAGTCCAAATGTTAGCTATGTTTTTTGATGTTGTTGCTTGTAACACCTGTAGAACTTTAAGTGTGTGCTCTAAAATCTGTTTAAATAAAAGAATAAATAAAACGATGGATGGATGGATGGATGGATGGATGGATGGATGGATGGATGGATGGATGGATGGATGGATGGATGGATGGATGGATGGATGGATATAATTAAGGTCTATTAGTAATTGGAAACTTCTGACATACCTTAGTGACAAAAACTTGCTGGATGACCTTTGGAGCCGACATCATGTGTCCTATGAGCGAGGGGTTTTTGGATGCAACCAAAATATCGGAAGCGTTCATTTGGCTGAAAACCCTGGCCGGTACCCCAGTAACAAGAGAACCCAGCATAAACAGAGCTGAAGAGTTATTGATCTGGTGGGATAAAGGAAGCAGTAGTGGCAGCACACAGATCAGAGAGTGTTAATCATTAAGACGACTCGCTCGTTGGTCTGGTCTGACCTTTATGTTTGTGAGATGAAATGTGTGAGGACAGAAACTATACCTTCATCATCAACAACAGCGACGCAACGATTGTCTTAGCCTGTCCGTCGCTCCAGCCTATCACACTGCTTAGAATACTGAGGGAATTGATAAGTTCCTGAGGATTTATGTTCTTGATTTGGCCTATAGACATGCTGGTGCTTTGATTGCCCAGGGCGGCAATGGTGTTGGAATCGACGTTGTTACCAAAGTTACTAGAAAGAGCAGCAGAAATCTACAGGGGCAAAGGAAAAGGTTTTTAGTCACATCCTTTTTTCTGCATACCGGACAGAAAGTCAAATTGTACAAGTGGGCCCTCATCCTCATTCGTACTAGCAGGCTACATTCATAACCTTTATTTTTCCTAAAAAAATAAACAATCAGATGGCCGATGCTAATATGAAACAAATACAAGGCACTATTCAGGTTTGTAATTTCTTTAGATCATCTCCTGTATTTTAGTCAAAAATAGCTTTCTGTGTGCTTCTTACCTGTGGATCCAGATCTAGACACACGATGGTGAGGTTCTCCAACACTATCAAACTTTCTTCTGCAGTCAGCTGGATGAAGGCCATACCAGGAGCGACACACCGGCACAATAGAGGAAGACTGCAGGGAACACAAATAAATAATGCATCAAAGACATAAAAAAAACCCCAAACATTACGTCTGGCTGATTGCCGTACGCAAACTCACAGAAGTGGGTTGAAGTTACTGTCCTGCTGGTAGACCAGCTGAGTGTAAAAGTCAGTGAGGTTCTGTGGTAAGACTGAATGGTTGAGGAGCGCGATGTTGGCTGGGTTTACTGTGAACACCTGCAGAGCCTATAAGGACCAAAGAAAATCAAAACCGCATCTCTTAGATATCTTCTCCCAATTTTACACCAAACAAACAAAAGTTTAAAATTTCTCCTCATCCTTATTAAGTACCTCATTCGCTCCAAAGGTCTGAAGAATCTCCAAGGTGAGGAATGGCATGAAAGGGCCGATGTACTCAGCAAACCAAGCGGTTGAGTTCAGCTGTGGGTCGTTGGAATCATAACATCTTGGCGTTGTTGCTAATGTGAAAGGTTAGGAATATTTAGACAGTATTTTAAATGTAAGTACATAACTACTATTTTGGACTCAACCTTTTGCCATTCGTTGAAATATGCAAAGACTGTAAGTGTTTAATGAAAACTGGCAGCATTACTTAACACTACCTGGTACCCGAATACATGGGAGATAATTAGAATATTCATGCAGGGTATGTTATTGGTACTTTCTAGAAAACCATGGGCTACTTCTAGGCTACCTTTTTGGGTTCTAATGGGTGATACCTGGAAGTAACTCACCAGATATCTAAAGGGTTCTTAAAAGTGACCTAAAATGGATTATATTTGGTACTGACAGGGTAATTAGGAGAAAAGGTTTGTTTCTATCTATGAGAAAATAATTTATATGCATGAACATTGGCATTTTTACTTAAATGCTATGTTTATGTTTAATCTTCTGTCTTTAATAATAACCAAAAACATTTTTATTGCTTTAGCTCTCTCCTCAGATTTCCTACAGTAGCAGAGTTAGTATGCTTGTTCCAGCATGCTGTCATCCCTCCAATAAGAGAAAATATAAAACTGGCAGTATTAAGAACTGACTGGTTACCCTGTACAATGTACCCCTTGATTACTGTATACTGTATGTACCCCTTCTAAGTAGGCCTATCAGTCAGCTCACATATTAATACCTTGAATTTAATTCAAATCAAAAGTCCCAGAAATAAATACAATTGTAAATGTGCTTTGGTTTTACGTTCAAAGTCACCTGATTGGAGATAAGCCCTGATGGTGTCGAACATGTCTTGCCGCTGAAAATCTGCTGCAGTGTAGTTGAATTTATCAAGAACCAAGACGCTAAAATGGTACAAAATTCAATCAGGACACAGGAAGCGAAAATATAAACATCAGAATGGGCAAAAAGCTGCTTTAAAACTTACAACTTCTGGAAGGCCAGACAGGATGTATTGTATGTAACATCAGGACTGATCAGACTCTTTGAGAGGAATACCAAGTAGTTTTCTAGACGTCTGTCGAACCAAGCGTCAGCCTCTGACCTACTGGAGCTGCTGAGGGCCATTGGCCAAACACAAGGCAGAGTGGGACGCCTGACCTCAGCCGGCAGAGACTCCTGTAGTGAATTAAACAGGTTTTGGCTTTTCGTTTGTCACATCACAATCTAGTGTTTGAGATTTTATTGCAGGTTGTACATACAGTCTCCAAAAACACTGGTGTGTTGTCGTAGCTGCTGTAGAGATCACAGAGCTGCGCTTCGTTTTCAATAACATCTTGTCGACGCAACAAATTCCCCAGATGTGAAGGAGGCATGGAGTTCAATAGCTGAAAGATAAGAAATATCAAATAAATCATCCTGTTGGTCCTAAGCTTTGTTCACACCTTACTGCTATTATGTCAACATACCAGGTGCTTTCTGTCGGGAGGCATGAGAGACAGGAAGATGGTCAGGTTGGGGAACTGGAACCCCATGAACGAGTCCTCCACGAAGCTGTAGAAGCTGTTGTTGTAGTTGCTGCCATAACAACGGAGAGCTGGAGAGGCTGTTGAAAAAAAAGGAAAGATTTTTTTACATAATTTGTCGTCTTCACTCTTAAAGGTGTGTAAAATGTGTGCTTTTTTTGAACAAAGAATGTTTCAAAGTTTTTATACAAAAAAAAATGTGACTGATTAACTATAACCCTAATGCTAACCCACTGTATCCCTCAATCTGTGCTCGACCATATGATCCCTTATGTAAGAGGAAAAAGAATAAAAAAAAATGAAAATATGGAATAACAAAAATATACTAGAGAGTTTGTCATATTCTTGCAACAATTTATTTTGGTTATCTGGCTGAGTTTTCCGACCATCACCAAGCAGTTTGAAATGGAGAAGAGAATAATCTTTGCATCAGCTTTATTTCTTTACCTTTCAGAGTCAGAATGATATTGTTGTAGATTTCCTTCTGTGAATCACTGCTCAGTGTGTGGATCGTTGAATTAAGAAGCTTTACCCTAAAATAGAAAAAAAAGAAATCCAAAGATTTTTAGAAAAGGGATTTAATGAAACAACCAGGAGGAGGTATCCTTCATGAAATCATTTCACACAATCTCTCATGACAAGTACAGTTTTAAATATATTTTATGTAATCAATCAATGCAAAGTAGCAATTAACTGTTATTTTAGGGGAAAAATTATTCCAGAACTTGATGTTTCTTTCTTTAAAAAGTACTAAATAGGGAAGAGTTACCATCTTTTGTAGCAAATAATGTTTCAGGTTTTAGGGGTTATATCTTTAACATCTCTTGGTATCTTGAGACACAATTTATCCATCTTAATTTTTATCTTAGGCTCAGTGGGATCAGAAGAACAGTGTCTGTGAACAGATAATTAAACTTTGGTGTAAACCAGAGGTGTTCAAGTCCAGTTCTCCAGAGCTACCATCCTCCAACTATTAATGCAACCCTTCTCCAACACTTAGGACTGGAGTGAGGCCCCCCATGATCCAGCCATCTCTATTATTGCTTTGTCTGAATGATTAGGATACATTTTCCAGCTAAAGAAGAAAAACAATCCCAAGATCAAGCAATCTTCTTAGCTAGGCTTTAAAATAGACAACCTAAGATTAAATTCAAATCAATTCAATTCAGTTTATTTATATAGCGCCAATTCACAACACACTTTACAGTTCATCAGATCATACAGTCAAACTGATTTAAAGTTTTCTATCTAAGGAAAACCAGTTGATTGCTTCATTTCATTGACTTGAAAGCAATCCCTCACACTAAGCATGCTTGTAACGACAGTGAAGAGAAAAAACTCCCTTTTAACAGGAAGAAATCTCCAGCAGAACCAGGCTCAGTGTGAGCGGCCATCTGCCGAGGCCGACTGGGGTTCAAGGAAACAGAATCAGACAGTTACCATCTGTGCTGTTTATTTGATGAATGTTTTCCTTTTTTTCCTTTCAGTTTAGGATGATGAAAATGTTTTGGAAGGTCTTCAGTTGTGTCAGTTTCCATAAGGGACCAGCTTTTAATTGATAAGACAGTACTGAATATAAATGAAATTCAAACTTTTCAGACTTTTGTCATTTAAAAAAAAATCTCTCCACTTCTCAACTATGCACTGCTTTTTGTTGGTCTGCCACATTGGTGAGTGATTGTTGTGTGATGATATATGAGAAACTCCAAAATGAGGGATCATTCCTGTCAAACAATATATATCCAGAGCCTGGTTGTTGAAGCTTTCCTTCTTACCCCTGACGCTCGATGCTACAGTTCCTTCCCTGCATTATCTGGAAATATGGGTTGACCTGGGAGGAGGTCAGGTTGATGACCAGAGGAGGCAGTCGATACTGGAACCACTGGGATACCTCTGAATCACCCACTGACTGACGGGACAGGTTTGCACGGTCGAAGACGACTTGCAGCATGGCAGACCTCACAGTAGAGGGCATCAAGTGTTCATTACCCTGCAGGGAAAAGAAGAAATACCAACAAAGTAATCATGCTGAAAAAATAAACTACTTACAAACTATTTATTTACATGTATTAAATATAAATGTCAACATGTCATAGCTATAGTAGCTTTGCTTACCGCAATGGAAGTTGAGAACCCATCAAAGAAGGAGGTGAGCTTGTGGTCAGGGACATAGCTCATCACCATGGTAACCTGGTCAGGAGATGTGAGCAGGCCAGGTGTTGTGGATAATGCCACCAGCTGATCGACAGACATGTATGCCAGGGCATCCGTCTGCACATATAGAAACACATCCATTTATACAGTAACACAGAAAGCAAAAAGGACAAAAACAGAAAGAAATTACAAAACACTGGATTCATGCATCATAACTTACGGGTGAGAAGTTGGGGTAGAGCTCCTGAAGCTCCTGGATAGAGACGAGGTCAGAAAACCCTCCGAGGTTCTTCTTCAGCCAGTCTCCACTGTTGCTTGTGCCGGAGCTGCAGGTGGGATCTGATCAAGAGACAACAGAACATAATGAACTCTTCTGAACATATTAGCTCTATATCATCATACCAGAATCAATATGAGAAAAATTGGTTAAAAAGCTCTTTAGAGCCAGCTCAAAAATTACTGGCAGAATTAAATGGTGGTTAGAGCATTGCACTTGGTTCCCAGAGGTTCTGAATTCAACTCCCACTCATTCCCATAGACTATCACTCTGGGTCCCTGAGCAAGATCCTTAACCCCAGATTGACATGACAGTCCAAATAGTATTTAATAAATATCCTATTTACCACCCAGACAGGAGTGTACATTAGAAATATCATTATTGCACAGCAGCAAGGAAAATTGTGTCAACAGCTTCAAGGTTCCTACCTGCAGAGTTGTTCCTTGTCAGGAAAACCCTTATGAAGTGAGTGAAGACAGACATCTGCCTTTCATGGGTCATGTGTGGCTGGATCTCACTCAATATTTTTACACTGTAAATGAAAAAGTCATATGATTATCACACCATTTAAAGAAGAGATAAATATATTTCTCAAGCAGTTATAAAGAATAAATGATTCCATGCTGACATGTGCTGGTAGGTGCTGCAGTTCAGTGCTTTTGAGGAAAGGCATGAAAGGAAGCTGTTGGAAACTGCTGGCAAGAACGGACGAAGGCGGCGGCCAAACCACGTCTGGATGAAGTCGGGATTGTTAAGGGCATACAGGTTGACAACATCCAAACGGAGCTCTTGTATGGAGTCCAGGATCATCGAGGTAGAAGGACTGTTGGGGTCGAGCATCTGTAACAATGAGGGATCCATAGTAAATATTTTTGTTTATATTTACATTACTGTCCAAGAGCGAGTATACACAGTAACAAAGATTCAAGAAATATCCCGAAAAGTATTTTTATCCTCTTAAAAAAACAAGAAAGCCGTTTTACCCTGATTACATAAGTTTGTAAACCCTTTGATTTATTTAAATTTTATGAATTCAAATCAGTATTATTTTGTATTTATTTTATTAAGAGTCATAAATGAAAACAAAGTAAATAGAAAAACAAAAAATATATATTATTAATGATACTAAACCTCAAGATGATAAAGGGTTAAAGATTATTTATACTGTAACCAAAACTCTTCCTTACATTGTCGGCCATCATATCCAGAGCCTCATCCAGGACCCTAGAGGCTTTAGAAAGGAACAGCTTCCAGACGAGTTTAGAGCCATTAGAGCTGGAGGTCCTGTTACAACTCAGCATGGCGACCAGGTCCTCAGCTTTTAGATCTGACAGCTAATGAGGGAATGAAAACAGATTAGATGCTATATTATAAGCGGAATCCTTTTCACAGACATGTGGATTGAAGATAGTTTATGATGCCATGTCTTACTGAGGCACAGGCAAATTCCTCAACAGAGAAGGTGCAGTGCTGTCCCGCCATCGTCTTGCTGTCTAAGTAGTTCTGAAGCTTTGTGCTGTGATAAAAAAAAAAATGTATTCATAATTTAACTTTTTAACTAAAAAACGTTCAAGTCTACTGTAAATATTACACAATCATACCTGTTGACTCCCATACAGATTTCTGTCTCTGTAAGAAGTTGAAAGATTTGTTAGGATATTAATCTATATAAAAAAGCAAAACAACTGTAAATAAAGGTCTTTATTTAGTGGGAGATAACTTACCATTTGTCATTGTTACATTGCACTGAACAGAGAAAGCAATGAAACGGTTACTGACCGTAGAAAACAAACAATCCTACAAAAGGTGAAAATAAACCAACCACTACAACACGTGAACATATTTACCTCTCCACTGTAGATGATGCAGTCTGAGAAAAACACAAAAAATTCAAATTAGTTAAAACTAGCCCTAGATATGATAGAAAAAAGAAATTAATTTTCAATTAACATGAAAGCATAATTTTAACTTATTGAATATTTATAAACAAAAATCAGTTCAGCAAGTTCTGTTATATCTAAACTCCTAGGGAATCTACCATCTGTCAATGCTACAATTTTAATAAGTGACAAAAATTCAAAAATGTTTATATAGTTTATAAGGAAAATGTTAAATAGGGGGGAAGAAAATGTAAGTTAAAGTAGAACAATATCTGCATTTTGCAACCATAAAATATGTCTGTCTTTCTTTTAAAGGACCCTCACCATGTGGTAGTTGTTTGGATAAAGCCATCTTGGTGTATGTGATGGAGGAAGCTATGTTTGGAGAAGCTGTTTCCATGGCAACATCCAATCTGGTGAATCTGTAAGGAAAGGCATTTTTAGGTCAGTCAAACTAACAATTTTCTTATATTTAGTTAGGATCACCAAAATGATTCATGCGTACCAAATATTAGAACAGCAGAGTAATATTTCTTTAAAAAGCACCACATTCTTCATATTCAAATGTTTACATACATTTCCTTCATATTTTGGTAGAAATGCCTTTACACTGTATGACTGGGGTAAAATGCTTAGTTTCTCTCTCAAAGCCCTCTTATAATATTTCTCTGGAACCGTGGCCCACTCCTCCTGACAGAATTGATGTAGCTGAGTCTTGTGTCTGATGCACACCTCTTAGCTCTACCTAAGCTATCCTATGAGGCTAAGATACAGTCTTTATGATGGAC